GCAGCGCCGATAAAAGGAATGGTTTTGTTGAAACGGGCAGCGACAAATAGGGTGCCCAGAGATGTTAATGCTGCAGTGAGCACAACGGGAAAAAACCTGGATTTCATTGCCATTTTTTGTTGTGATTTTATAGACTCAAATTTAGCAATAGGTTCTTTAGAAATCTGTTAAAAACGGTGGTGTGAGCGGTTTGTAACAATAGTTTTGGTTAGGGGAATGTGAAGGGGGGATTTAGACAAAGCAAAAAAAATATTTCAGGTTCCACACGTGAAAATCAGGGAATATATCAGGTGTAAAACCACGTGTGCATCAGCTTGTTTCGAAAATAAATAAAGTCAACCTTTGAGCACTAAATAAAATTTTTATGAAAAAATATTCTATAATTTGGGTTTTGGTCGTTGTGATTTTTTGCGGATGTAGAAATAATGATAATAAAACTCCAGATCAACAAACCCCGATTGCAGGGGTAGCGAGGACTGCTACGTCCAATGAGATTGAAGATCTATTTCTGCCAGATCAATTTGGTATAAGTAGATTCGCTGCAGACAGTCTTTTGTCGGTATTTATTAATAAGTATCAATATGCAGATGGTAACGGAGATCAATTTGAGTTTATGAGAAATGAATTGAAACTGCATATTGATATTGATTCCTTATTGGCTTTTAATACATATCTCGATGCTGTATCAACTAATCAATGTCAAGGAATTAGGATCTCGTTTGGCATAGATGGACGACGCCTGCCTGTTTTTTATTTTACTCCTGTCCTTATGACGCTTGACTCTCAAAGTAATGACAGTATTTATTTTTCAATATTAAATAGCGAAAAGTATTATACGTATGGAAACAGATGGACTGCAGTAAAATCAGAAGCGGATATAGCAAAAATGCAGCAAAATAAAGCAAATTATAAATTGAATATGCGTAAGCTTAGCGCTAATGTATTTGAAAACCTTGAGATAATGGATCATGATAATGATAGTAGTGATAGTGATCCTTTCGCAGTTACTTTTCCCTGGATTGAAATAAAGACCTTAGTTACGCATAATATTAGAACGGTAGTGAGAAATAGTTACTATACATGTGATTCTCCATCCAGAAAAGAACTTATTGATCTGAATAATAAATCATATGAGGAAATAAAGGCTGGTTATAATCTTACAAAAATACCAGAGGCAAATAGAATAACATTTCATTGGGCTGCTGAACAAAAGGGAGATAGTAGGCTAAAACATATTGTTTTATTGGTACCTGATTATGATGGTAAATATGAATTGCCTCAAACAAATAATGTGTTGCAATTCCAGGCTGCTAACTTTAATACACCTTGTCCTCATAATTGTGGCACGGCAGTTTATAAAAAGAAGTGATTTATTTTTAGTATAATGGTGCCATTTAAAGTTTATAAATGGCACTGTTTTTCAAATGCAAAATAATGTTAGAAAAGAGCTTGCCGCTAGTCGCCCTATTTTTTATCCTGCTAGCCACAATAACAGGATTTCTTAAATTCAGAGATGCATCTTCACCCTGGCGTATTCTTATCATTTTTTCTGCTTATTCCTTATTGTCTGAATGTATTTCCAAGCTATTGTCTCGCAACGGATATAATACATTATGGCTCATCAACATTTTTATTTTATTGCAGAACTATTTTCTAATCATTGCAGGAACATTTTTTTTGAACAAAAATAGAAGAAAGCTATTTTTTTTCGCACTGTTTATATGTACCTGCTTATGGTTTTATCAGCTCTACGATGTAGGAATAATGATGCTTTTCCAGCATTCAATGTTGCTAAGCTGTGTGGTGTTGCTGCTATTATATTTTAATGTTCTATTCCGCTTTATGATCAATTCCCAATTGCCAATGAGTCGCAATCCCGGGTTTTGGTTTTGTATCGCAATTATTATATTTTATGGATGCAGTGGCCCCATTTTCAGCGCGTTTATTTATCTGAATTTTGTAAAAAAGGACGGGAAATACCCAGAATTATATACCTTGATTAACGTATTGTCGGCAATAGAATTTATACTTATAACTATTAGTTTTTACTTATTGGACAGAAGAAATAAATCCTATGCACTATCTTCTGAAATTGGACGTTAACCGGGATCTGATCTACATTCTGTTCGTTTCAGTAGTCATTATTTTTTTACTGGTTACTGGTGTGGTAACTACTATTTTATTAGCGGGCAAGCAACGTACGAAGCAACAACTATCCTACGAAAAAGAACTCCGCACCACCCAGCAGGAAATCCAGTCCCAACTACTTAACCAGGTCTCCTCCGAACTGCATGATAATATCGGGCAACTGCTGACCTTAATGCGTATCCAGCTACAAACGGGCAAGATTAAAAATCCCGGGCTGAACGATTTGTTCGCACCGGTTGATAAAACCTTGTCAGAAACAATCGAACAGGTGCGGGCACTTAGCCATTCACTGAGCAGCGATCTGCTGGAGCGCAGAGGATTGTTGGAAACTATTACTGCCGAGGTCAGCCGCTTGCAGCAGCTCAACCATTTTCAACTGGAGTTTTTGCATGATGATACAGAGCCGGCACTGGAAAATGATCAGAAGCTTATGGTCTTCCGTATGTTCCAGGAACTGATCAATAATATCCTGAAACATGCCCAGGCAAGCAAGGTTTTGATTACACTGAAAGGCCATGACCTCTTTGAACTCGGGATCCGGGATGATGGTAAAGGATATGATGTCGACCAGATGTTATCTTCTGCCGATGGGGCCGGGCTTAAAAATATTATACGACGTGCAGCGCTGGCCCGGCTTGAATGCCGGTTGAGCAGTACAAACGGAACCGGAAGCAGTTGTTTTATTCAGAATATGTAACTATTTTGTTGGGCATTAACCCTGTAGCCAATGAAAGAATCCGCATCTATTATCCTTGTTGATGACCATGTGGTCGTCCGGAATGCCCTCAAAGAATTATTGGAAGCTATGGGGCCATTCAATATTACACACCAGTTCAATAATGGCAGTGATTTTGTGGCCCAGATACCTTTTAATGAACCGCCCGATCTGATCATTATGGATCTGATCATGCCGCTTATGAATGGCAAAGAAGTATTGGAATGGTTTAAAGAGCATAAGGTCGATTACCCGGTACTGATCTTGTCCATGGAAACGGACCAGGCCATGATCCTGTCTTTGTTTAACCTGGGCATGAAGGGCTATCTGCCCAAAGCCTGTACTGCTGAAATGCTGAAGACCGGTATCGATGACATTCTGAACAAAGGGCATCATTACAACGATCTCTTGATCGAAGCCCTGCATAGCCCGTCTAAAACGGTTGATAAAACAGAAGAAATACTGAAAAACATTAATGGCCGTGAGCTTGAATTTCTCCGGCTCGTATGCCGTGATGAAGAGTACACCTATAAACAGATAGCGGGCATTATGAATGTGCATCGCCGTACGATTGATGGTTATCGCGAGCGTCTGTTTGAAAAATGCAGCGTGGTTTCCAAATCAGGATTAGTGCAATTTGCGATCCGCAACAAGCTGGTATAATATCGCTTGCTGATAATCATTAGCGATTATCTTTGTGCGCAAATCAACCTGATGAATCTCGAATTCAATAAAAATGAAGACGGCATGAAGCTGGCCGTTAGCCAGATGCGACAACGACATGC